CACGCCCAATCCGCAGCCCGCTCGAATCGCACGCAATTCACGTATTCACGGACATGCCACATGTGCTGCACATACCCCTTTCACATATCGTCGTGCTCCTACACTTACGACCATGCTCGCATGCTTCTTTCGCCACCAGGCTTGCTTCAATCCCCGCCTCGAGCCATCCGGTTGCTACTCGCTTTGACGTCGCATTTCTTCGTGTTATGGATACCCACGGGATCAATTGTTCTCGCGGAAGGCTGCGATGAACCCTCTGGCTGTCTTGGAGAATTGGTAGTGCAGTCAGCGAAGTCGGCAGTTAGGCTTGGTGAGCTCTGCCAGAGCAGCAGCTACCACTTAAATCGGCAGCGGATCGCCGGGACACGATATAACACACCACGGCAACACAACGTGACGCGGCTGTAGCGTGTGGGCAGGTGCGCAACGCAGCAACAGCTGGGGCGTTGTAGGGCCGGGTAGAAGCGGTGCAAAACGAGGTCCTACCGGGATTTAAACCCGGATTGCTGGATCAGAAGTCCAGAGTGCTAACCATTACACCATAAGACCAGCACTAGCTCACCAATCCGCAAACAAAATTTCAAACGCTTTTCTAAAGCCCCACACGACAGCTGGCGCCATCGCTACATACTATGCTTGCAACGCCGCACAATACCAAGCTCCTACCGGGATTTGGACCCCGGATCGCTGGATTCAAAGTCCAGAGTGCTAACCATTACACCATAAGAGCACCTAGCTCAGACACAACACGCCCAATCCGCAGCCCGCTCGAATCGCACGCAATTCACGTATTCACGGACATGCCACATGTGCTGCACATACCCCTTTCACATATCATCGTGCTCCTACACTTACGGCTATGCTCGCATGCTTCTTTCGCCACCCGGCTTGCTTCAATCCCCGCCTGGAACCATCCGGTTGCTACTCGCTTTGACGTCGCATTTCTTCGTGTTTTGGATACCCATGGGATCCATTGTTCTCGCGGAGGCTGCGATGAACCCTCTGGCTGTCTTGGAGAATTGGTACTGCAGTCAGCGAAGTCGGCAGTTAGGCTTGGTGAGCTCTGCCAGAGCAGCAGCTACCACTTAAATCGGCAGCGGATCGCCGGGACACGATATAACACACCACGGCAACACAAAGTGACGCGGCTGTAGCGTGTGGCAGGTGAGCAACGCAGCAACAACTGGGGCGTTGTAGGGCCGGTAGAAGCGGTGCAAAACGAGGTCCTACCGGAATCTGAACCCGGATCGCTGGATTCAGAGTCCAGAGTGCTAATCATTACACCATAAGAGCACCTAGCCCAGACACAACACGCCCAATCCGCAACCCGCTCGAATCGCACCCAATTCACGTATTCACGGACATGCCACATGTGCTGCACGTACCCCTTTCACATATCGTCGTGCTCCTACACTTACGGCCATGCTCGCATGCTTCTTTCGCCACCAGGCTTGCTTCAATCCCCGCCTCGAGCCATCCGGTTGCTACTCGCTTTGACGTCGCATTTCTTCGTGTTATGGATACCCACGGGATCTATTGTTCTCGCGGAAGGCTGCGATGAACCCTCTGGCTGTCTTGGAGAATTGGTAGTGCAGTCAGCGAAGTCAGCAGTTAGACTTAGTGAGCTCTGCCAGAGCAGCAGCTACCACTTAAATCGGGAGCGGATCGCCGGGACACGATATAACACACCACGGCAACACAACGTGACGCGGCTGTAGCGTGTGGCAGGTGCGCAACGCAGCAACAACTGGGGCGTTGTAGGGCCGGTAGAAGCGGTGCAAAACGAGGTCCTACCGGGATTTGAACCCAAATCGCTGGATTCAGAGTCCAGGGTGCTGACCATTACACCATAAGACCAGCACTAACTCGCCAATCCGCAAACAAAATATCAAACGCTTTCCTAAAGCCCCACACGACAGCTGGCGGCATCGCTACATACTATGCTTGCAACGCCGCACAAAATCAAGCTCCTACCGGGATTTGAACCCGGATCGCTGGATTCAAAGTCCAGAGTGCTAACCATTACACCATAAGAGCACCTAGCCCAGACACAACACGCCCAATTCGCAACCCGCTCGAATCGTACGCAATTCACGTATTTACGGACATGCCCCATGTGCTGCACATACCCCCTTTCACATATCATCGTGCTCCTACACTTACGGACCATGCTCGCATGCTTCTTTTCGCCACCAGGGCTTGCTTCAATCCCCCGCCTCGAGCCATCCGGTTGCTACTCGCTTTGACGTCGCATTTCTTCGTGTTTTGGATACCCACGGGATCAATTGTTCTCGCGGAAGGCTGCACGAATTGGAGCCCTCTGGGGCCTGTCTTGGAGAATTTGGTTAGTGCAGTTCCCAGCGAAGTTCGGCAGTTAGGCTTGGTGAGCTCTGCCAGAGCCCAGAGCAGCTAAACCACTTAAATCGGCAGCGGATCGCCGGGACACGATATAACACAACCACAGCAAACACAACGTTGACGCGGCTGTAGCGTGTGGCAGGTGCGCAACGGCAGGCAACAACTGGGGCGTTGTAGGGCCGGTAGAAGCGGTGCAAAACGAAGGTCCTACCCGGGATTTGAACCCGGATCGCTGGATTCAGAGTCCAGAGTGCTAACCATTACACCATAAGAGCACCTAGCCCAGACACACCACGCCCAATCCGCAACCCGCTCGAATCGCACCCAATTCACGTATTCACGGACATGCCACATGTGCTGCACATACCCCTTTCACATATCATCGTGCTCCTACACTTACGGCCATGCTCGCATGCTTCTTTCGCCACCAGGCTTGCTTCAATCCCCGCCTCGAGCCATCCGGTTGCTACTCGCTTTGACGTCGCATTTCTTCGTGTTTTGGATACCCACGGGATCAATTGTTCTCGCAGAAGGCTGCGATGAACCCTCTGGCTGTCTTGGAGAATTGGTACTGCAGTCAGCGAAGTCGGCAGTTAGGCTTGGTGAGCTCTGCCAGAGCAGCAGCTACCACTTAAATCGGCAGCGGATCGCCGGGACACGATATAACACACCACGGCAACACAACGTGACGCGGCTGTAGCGTGTGGCAGGTGCGCAACGCAGCAGCAACTGGGGCGTTGTAGGGCCGGTAGAAGCGGTGCAAAACGAGGTCCTACCGGGATTTGAATCCAAATCGCTGGATTCAGAGTCCAGAGTGCTAACCATTACACCATAAGAGCACCTAGCCCAGACACAACACGCTCAATCCGCAACGCGCTCGAATCGCACGCAGGTGACGTATTCACGGACATGCCACATGTGCTGCACATACCCCTTTCACATATCATCGTGCTCCTACACTTACGGCTATGCTCGCATGCTTCTTTCGCCACGCCGCTTGCTTCAATCCCTGCGTCGAACCATCCGGTTCGCTACTCGCTTTGACGTCGCATGTCTTCGTGTTTTGCATACTCACGATATCTATTGTTCTCGCGGAAGGCTTGCGATGAGACCTCTGACTGTCTTGGAGAATTGGTAGTGCAGTCAGCGAAGTCGGCAGTTAGGCTTAGTGAGCTCTGCCAGAGCAGCAGCTACCACTTAAATCGGCAGCGGATCGCCGGGACACGATATAACACACCACAGCAACACAACGTGACGCGGCTGTAGCGTGTGGCAGGTGCGCAACGCAGCAACAACTGGGGCGTTGTAGGGCCGGTAGAAGCGGTGCAAAACGAGGTCCTACCGGGATTTGAACCCAAATCGCTGGATTCAGAGTCCAGAGTGCTAACCATTACACCATAAGACCAGCACTAACTCGCCAATCCGCAAACAAAATTTCAAACGCTTTCCTAAAGCCCCACACGACAGCTGGCGCCATCGCTACATACTATGCTTGCAACGCCGCACAAAATCAAGCTCCTACCGGGATTTGAACCCGGATCGCTGGATTCAAAGTCCAGAGTGCTAACCATTACACCATAAGAGCACCTAGCTCAGACACACCACGCCCAATCCGCAACCCGCTCGAATCGCACGCAATTCACGTATTCACGGCCATGCCACATGTGCTGCACATACCCCTTTCACATATCATCGTGCTCCTACACTTACGGCCATGCTCGCATGCTTCTTTCGCCACCCGGCTTGCTTCAATCCCCGCCTCGAACCATCCGGTTGCTACTCGCTTTGACGTCGCATTTCTTCGTGTTTTGGATATCCACGGGGTCTATTGTTCTCGCGGAAGGCTGCGACGAGCTCTTTGGCTGTCTTGGAGAATTGGTAGTGCAGCCAGCGAAGTCGGCACTTAGGCTTGGTGAGCTCTGCCAGAGCAGCAGCTACCACTTAAATCGGCAGCGGATCGCCGGGACACGATATAACACACCACGGCAACACAACGTGACGCGGCTATAGCGTGTGGCAGGTGCGCAGCGCAGCAACAACTGGGGCGTTGTGGGGCCGGTAGGAGCGGTGCAAAACGAGGTCCTACCGGGATTTGAACCCGGATCGCTGGATTCAGAGTCCAGAGTGCTAGCCATTACACCATAAGACCAGCACTAACTCACCAATCCGCAAACAAATTTCAAACGCTTTCCTAAAGCCCCACACGACAGCTGGGGGCCATCGCTACATACTATGCTGTGCAACGCCGCACAAATCAACTCCCTACCGGGATTTGAACCCGGATCGCTGGATTCAAAGTCCAGAGTGCTAACCATTACACCATAAGAGCACCTAGCCCAGACACACCACGCCTAATCCGCAACCCGCTCGAATCGCACCCAATTCACGTATTCACGGACATGCCACATGTGCTGCACATACCCCTTTCACATATCATCGTGCTCCTACACTTACGGCCATGCTCGCATGCTTCTTTCGCCACCAGGCTTGCTTCAATCCCCGCCTCGAGCCATCCGGTTGCTACTCGCTTTGACGTCGCATTTCTTCGTGTTTTGGATACCCACGGGATCTATTGTTCTCGCGGAAGGCTGCGATGAGCCCTCTGGCTGTCTTGGAGAATTGGTAGTGCAGTCAGCGAAGTCGGCAGTTAGGCTTGTACCCCGGATCGCTGGATTCAAAGTCCAGAGTGCTAACCATTACACCATAAGAGCACCTAGCCCAGACACACCACGCCTAATCCGCAACCCGCTTGAATCGCACCCAATTCACGTATTCACGGACATGCCACATGTGCTGCACATACCCCTTTCACATATCATCGTGCTCCTACACTTACGGCCATGCTCGCATGCTTCTTTCGCCACCAGGCTTGCTTCAATCCCCGCCTCGAGCCATCCGGTTGCTACTCGCTTTGACGTCGCATTTCTTCGTGTTTTGGATACCCACGGGATCTATTGTTCTCGCGGAAGGCTGCGATGAGCCCTCTGGCTGTCTTGGAGAATTGGTAGTGCAGTCAGCGAAGTCGGCAGTTAGGCTTGTACCCCGGATCGCTGGATTCAAAGTCCAGAGTGCTAACCATTACACCATAAGAGCACCTAGCCCAGACACACCACGCCTAATCCGCAACCCGCTTGAATCGCACCCAATTCACGTATTCACGGACATGCCACATGTGCTGCACATACCCCTTTCACATATCATCGTGCTCCTACACCTACGGCCATGCTCGCATGCTTCTTTCGCCACCAGGCTTGCTTCAATCCCCGCCTCGAGCCATCCGGTTGCTACTCGCTTTGACGTCGCATTTCTTCGTGTTCTGGATACCCACGGGATCAATTGTTCTCGCGGAAGGCTGCGATGAGCCCTCTGGCTGTCTTGAGAATTGGTAGTGCAGTCAGCGAAGTCGGCAGTTAGGCTTGGTGAGCTCTGCCAGAGCAGCAGCTACCACTTAAATCGGCAGCGGATCGCCGGGACACGATATAACACACCACGGCAACACAACGTGACGCGGCTGTAGCGTGTGGCAGGTGCGCAACGCAGCAACAACTGGGGCGTTGTAGGGCCGGTAGAAGCGGTGCAAAACGAGGTCCTACCGGGATTTGAACCCAAATCGCTGGATTCAGAGTCCAGAGTGCTAACCATTACACCATAAGACCAGCACTAACTCGCCAATCCGCAAACAAAATTTCAAACGCTTTCCTAAAGCCCCACACGACAGCTGGCGCCATCGCTACATACTATGCTTGCAACGCCGCACAAAATCTAGCTCCTGCCGGGATTTGAACCCGGATCGCTGGATTCAAAGTCCAGAGTGCTAACCATTACACCATAAGAGCACCTAGCTTAGACACAACACGCCCAATCCGCAACCCGCTCGAATCGCACGCAATTCACGTATTCATGGACATGCCACATGTGCTGCACATACCCCTTTCACATATCGTCGTGCTCCTACACTTACGGCCATGCTCGCATGCTTCTTTCGCCACCAGGCTTGCTTCAATCCCCGCCTCGAGCCATCCAGTTGCTACTCGCTTTGACGTCGCATTTCTTCGTGTTATGGATACCCACGGGATCAATTGTTCTCGCGGAAGGCTGCGATGAGCCCTCTGGCTGTCTTGGAGAATTGGTAGTGCAGTCAGCGAAGTCGGCAGTTAGACTTGGTGAGCTCTGCCAGAGCAGCAGCTACCACTTAAATCGGCAGCGGATCGCCGGGACACGATATAACACACCACGGCAACACAACGTGACGCGGCTGTAGCGTGTGGCAGGTGCGCAACGCAGCAACAACTGGGGCGTTGTAGAGCCGGTAGAAGCGGTGCAAAACGAGGTCCTACCGGGATTTGAACCCAAATCGCTGGATTCAGAGTCCAGGGTGCTAACCATTACACCATAAGACCAGCACTAACTCGCCAATCCGCAAACAAGATTTCAAACGCTTTCCTAAAGCCCCACACGACAGCTGGCGCCATCGCTACATACTATGCTTGCAACGCCGCACAAAATCAAGCTCCTACCGGGATTTGAACCCGGATCGCTGGATTCAAAGTCCAGAGTGCTAACCATTACACCATAAGAGCACCTAGCTTAGACACAACACGCCCAATCCGCAACCCGCTCGAATCGCACGCAATTCAGCGTATTACATGGAACATGGCCAACATGTGGCTGGCACATACCGCTTTACACATATCGTGCGTGGCTCCTACACTTACGGCCATGCTTGACATGTTTTCTTTTCCCCCCCGAGGCTTGCTTCAATCCCCGCCTCGAGCCATCCGGTTGCTACTCGCTTTGACGTCGCATTTCTTCGTGTTTTGGATACCCACGGGATCTATTGTTCTCGCGGAAGGCTGCGATGAGCCCTCTGGCTGTCTTGGAGAATTGGTAGTGCAGTCAGCGAAGTCGGCGGTTAGGCTTGGTGAGCTCTGCCAGAGCAGCAGCTACCACTTAAATCGGCAGCGGATCGCCGGGACACAATATAACACACCACGGCAACACAACGTGACGCGGCTGTAGCGTGTGGCAGGTGCGCAACGCAGCAACAACTGGGGCGTTGTAGGGCCGGTAGG